GTCATCCGATGATTCTCGGATTCTTCATTGACAGGTTCATTCCATGGACGAATTTTTTTTGATAGCATTTCTTGTGATGAAGGTGTACTTAATTGACGTTTATTATGACAAATATTACCCTTATCTTCATCTCGACGTTGTTCATTCGAATGCGCATCTTTTGTAGATAACTGACTTAATTTCTGTGATAAAATTTGTTGACCAACAATCTAAATGATAGGAAAAACTGGTGTCTCTACAGTTTTCATTCGATAGAAGTTAATTCTGCTTTACTTGATTAGTATATTTCTGGCTCATGCTTATATTTTCTTCGAGAAACATTTCTTCTTCATTTGCATGCATAAATAAATGATCAAAATTGAAATCTTTATTGTATTCTTCCATAATATCATTAAGATCCTCGACATTATTCTCTTCATTCAGAATATCAAAGTAATTATCAAACCCTTCCAAAAGGATCAACTGAATCAAATATTCAATTGATATTAGAAACAAAAGGGCAGAAAAAAAAGTATATTACTCACATTATTTTCTTCCTCTGTAGTAAGATCAACAGTATTAATTGAATCGGTGGTATACTTTGCCATGACAGAGCCAATATAGAATGATTCTATTTTTCTTTTTTTTTAATTTCTGTTTGAGAAAGGTAAAAAGATCTCTTTCGTATTATCTAGAATAAACATGTCTGATTATTGTATAGATAATCACTACAACATATAGAACTACAACCATATGAATATATCTTCTTTACTTTCTATCAAAATGCTAGATTAAGATTAGTATGGATAACAAAAAGCATAAGAAATGATATGCACATAGAATAGAATAAGACTGCTACAAAGAAAAAAAGAAAGTAACGAAACAACTTGAAATTGATTGATCTTGATCGAAACATTGAAAGATTTATTTTATGCTAGAATAGATAGTTCAATTGAAATATCGAATGAAAATAGTATTTCTTTGTTTTAATTATGTATTCTTCGATGTTTGCTTTGCTAATAGACGAGGATGAAGTAAATTTTCACACCAATATCCTTCAGTTGTACTATCATCAGATTTCAATTCTTGATCCACATCACTAGTCGTAATCACCAATTTTGGTTCTGCATACATGACCAATAAAGCTTCTACTGTATGGCGCAATGCATCCGAAGCATTTTCAGGTACTAATAGAGAGTAAGAAGAAAAACATGAAATTCATAGAATGTATCTCAAAAAACAATCAAATAACAAATAGAATAAATTCTCTTACAAGCAATAACAATAACAGCATTGTAAAGATCGAGAAATCGGGTTACAGAAACCTCGGATTTCTTGTGAAAAAATTCATATTGTTCAAGTATTTGTAGCAAAGAAAATTGATAATTTGATGGAGGTAATGGTACATGATTAACACACCATCGAACTAAGGGCATTGTTCGCTCATATCGATTAATTTCTCTTTCTATGAAAAGTGAATCTTGATAATTCACCAAGAGTTGTCTTTTTGCAGAAGTTAGATTAACATTATCGATTCGAGCTTGTTCATGAGTCATTGGTACAAAACACCAATATTCAGGATGACATTGTAAGAAGAGTTGCAAAGGCACAGAACATTGCGTAGAATGCTCATATAACTTTCTTTGACAATCAGAAATCAATCTAAATATATCATTTAGTGTATGTGTGTCGCTCTTAAAGAATAGAAGATGAACATACGGATCTGATTCGCGATCATCTTGTAAACGATTAGCATTAATTTTTCCAATGAAAAAATTGCTAATCAATCGACATCCATACGTACGATGTTCTAAAAGTAATATGTTACAGAAGAGTATGAAATGAACCGTTAGATACTTCTCATTCGTTCACGAAATGCAACATGACATCGACCAATATAATCATAACGATGGCAAGGACATGTCAAAGCATAGATCACATTTGATGTGGTACAAGTCTACTATGGAGGATGATTTTCATAGGATGTAAAATAATCTATATCAATTAATTTTACTCACCACATCACAATTCAAATAAACTCTATACTGATTAAGAAAACAGTGAACTTGTTTGTTAGAAAAATGCATTGCTCGTTCAAATCGATTCGTTAAGTCCAGACGTTCATAACAGAAACGGCAACTTTTATCTTTACATTGTTTCATACCATAGTGAGCTCTTGGTGTACCATAAGGAAATATACCAATATAGTCCCATTGTGGTTTAGCGTTATAAAAATTACATGTCTTCATATAGAAACAGGAAGCTACAGTAAAGAAGAATAAAAAACAAAAAAGCATTTCATTTGAGAGTCACACGATCTATTTAGAATTGTTCGAACAAACCATCCATTTGTAAATAATATTCTAAAACAAGAAACCATTCTTCCATAGATAATTGATAGGATTTTTGTTGAACTTTTATAAAATAATCGTGTAATGTAAATCGAGAAAGTAGATGATATAATCGATTTAAATTAATCGTTAACACGGTTTGATGAACATTCCATTGGCGACCATAGAAATCTAACCATTGTTGTAAATCTAATTGGAGTTTGACATCAAATTGCAGTAACAACGAAGCATACTTTTCCTCAAAACGATGTGCTCGTCGAACACGTTGTTCGACCGTAGATAATTCTTTTACTACAACAACATATGCTGCAAATAAATTACATAATCGAAATGAACAAATGCCTACTGGGTGTATTAGCTAAAAGTGGATAAAATTCATTGTTATTATTGCAAACAGGAAAAAAAGGAAGAAATAATTGCTGAACAGTTGTTTGAATTGTTGCAAGACGTAATTGACACAAACGTGAAGGATTCTCAGGAAATGGTATCGGTAGCCATTCTTGCTGTTCTTCTTTTTGTTTGGTTGAGTCGAATAAATTACTAGTACTAATATTCATGGTCTCCAATGTTTGTATCGATACGTGAGCAACGTTGTGTCTATATCGTGGATGATGTGGTAGAATAGGTGATGCACTTGAAGTATCTAAATAAAATTTCAAAAGTCGTCTAGAGAGTAGTTGAAATTCAGCATACCAGTGGAATCATGAGGTAGAACATCTGTTGAAAGTAAACGTTGACGAAACATTTAGCTTTTTTCTCTTGTTCAAATTGCTATTTTTCTGATAAAACACACACACACACACTCACACACACAAAATAGGCAAAGATCTACAAATAATATTTCGAATATAATAGATAATTAAATGAAAGAAAGAATGAAAGAAAATAATAAGTTTCTTGTACGAATGACCAAGCACTAATTAAAAGTAGAGATTACATACAATAGAAAAAGAAAGTATTTTCTTGTGCAATATTATCGGCGCACTAGATTTCGACACCATTCCTCACATTCCATTGCAGCAGAGGTTTGATTTGTAGTATGAGTTGAAACAAATTGATCTAAATGACCGATAGTATTGAGTTTGGTTTCAGTATGTGTAATAAATAAGGCTTCGACGAATCGTCTCATAGCTGCTGTGGCATGTTCTGGTACTGTTATGAAATACAAGAAATAAATATCAAAGTGAAATAGATATTCTCGAATGCCACTCTTTTGCTACTCGTAGATTAATACTTACATATTGCAACAATAGCTGCTTGATACAAATCGAGATGAAGATTAGGTGTGTTTAAATAGATTTTTTTACGAAAAAATTGATCAATGGCATTTTTCTGTTCATCACTAAATCGATAACCATTTGGTGGTGTGGGTACATCATTGGCATATGTAAAACTATTCGGCTCCGCGATGTAGCTATTTGAATGGATATATATTTGATCGGAAAAACACGAGAAAGAAATCCTTACTATACTAGTTCCTTTTCTTCTCGTTGCTCGTCTGCTTCGGTGATTTTTCGAGGAATAAAAGGCCAATAGTGAGGATTTTCATCGAGAAACCATTGTATAGCCGATGAACAATGAGTTGAATGTCGATAAAGTTTCATGTCATTTTTAACAAGTGTTCTAAATATCATAGGATAGAAAAAGATAGTTTTATTAGAGATGAATTTACTCGACTGATGGCAATTCATTGCGAATACGAGCTGTATTTTTCTTGCCGAGAAGAAATTCTTGTAAGATACGATTTCCATGCTGTTGGTGATCTAGGAAAATCATATTTTTCTAAAAATATCATATCAATAATGAAAGAATTTTCTTCTACAAGCGAGACGATAGTTTAATGATGAATGTGTTTCACCAATATAATCCACTTGTTGGCATGGACAAGTAAGTACATATATAATATTTCTTGTTGTACATGTTGCTGGACAATTGAGAATAGATCGATATCCATTGATAAATGTATGTTGCTGATGGGATCTAAATTGGATAATGGGTTGGTGCTGACGGTACGCCAATTTATACGATGGATAACATAAACAACAAGACAATTGATGACATCGGCTCATATCATATCGAGCTTCTGGTTCACTTAGACAAAATAAACTTTTCTCATCGAGAATTGACGGTTGTGCTCCTCGATAAGAACATGCCTTCATATAGAAGAGATGAATATCCATTTGCAAAAAGAATTCCAATACTAAAGAATATTCTTCTTCTGAAAGATATTCTTGATCGAGCCGAGTCGAGAAACAATGAATTCAATTTGCCGCAAATAATTGATTTAATTTTATCATTCGCCAAAAATTAAATTCCAACACATCTCGATGAACATTCCACATACGACTTAAGGAAAAAATTTGTCTTTCATGATCATTAGCTGGTTTTATCGAAGTAGGTTGATGATATCCTTGTAGACATCGACGTTCTAAGTCTTCTTGCTTCAGCTGATGTACTATATATATTGGAAAAAAAGAATTCATACACAAATGAATAGATGAAACTATGGATAATTTTTTTTTCGAGTAGGCCTACTTGGAATATTAGTCAAGAGTAAATGAATATGAGTACTATTGTTTACCGTTGGATAAGAAGGTAAGATGGCATATCGTGCATTGGAACAAGACTGTTTTAATATCTGTAATGTAGGAGTCGATGCTAAAATTGTATAGAAACAGAATAGAATCACCATAAATATTCGAATGATATTTTGTCTACCTGATGCTTGACCATGAAGATTTTGAAACATAATTTAACTGTATTATACCCAGTGGAGATGAAGAAAACGAATCTAGAAATAATTCGATTTATTCTTATTTATTTATTGATTTATTTATTTGTTGCTGTTTTTGAAATCTAATATATTTTGATTGAAATAGATGCATTTCCATCTAAACTATCGATACTAAAATGATTACATATAAAACACAAAAAAGATAAAATAAAAACATAAAATAAGAATGATCAATTTATTTATTTGTTTTGGAATTGGTCCGGTTTTTTATTTCTTCGTTATATGCTTGAATCAATTGTTTCCATTTTTCTATCTCTTGTTTCTCAATTTCTTTATCTTGAGTGTTGTTGGTATTAACAACACTTTTATTCTCGTCCACGGTTGTATCTGAAGAATTATCACGATCAATCAGAAGATTGCGTTTATCGGCCGACATGAACCAAAAATCATGATTCATATTACATTTTAAATCGAATGTTGAAGAGAGTTCACAATGACAAGTATTCAATTGTTGTTGTCGTGACTAATGATAGTACTGTTGATACAATTCTTCTAATGCGGATGCATCAAAAATCTGATATTTCTTATCCATCTCTGGATCAAATAGTAAGAAACGAAAAAATCTGAAATCGAAAGAACTACAGGAGATTTATTGCATAAAAATTAATTAGACAAAACAATTTTTTCTTTTCTTTTTTTTTTCTATATGTCTCTAACTATAATTTGGAAATATTCAATGTGAAGGATCAGTTTGTATTCGATGGATATTTGGCTAAATGAACAATTTCAATGGTAATGCCTTGTGAATCGTAATTATCATACAAGTATGCTGGTAATAATTCTCGTGGGTTTTGTTTGGCACGATATAAATCAGAACCTGTCAAATTGGAATAGCTATACCAAATACATTGTTTTTGTGTTTCTTCACGAGATTTCATTATTTTTTCTTTATTTTCTTCATCATATTGTCGAACAGATCGACGAAGTACATCGTAAGTTGCTTGATCATAATAAAGTGTAAAATCTGATACTTGAAAATGTGTAAAAAATTGTCGAGACTTTCTCGAATATAATTAAATGAAAATCGATTAAATATATATGAATATTCAATATATTGTTGTTCGTGCTGAAAATCTTCCACTTGTGCGCAACATAGAACAGCACGAATTAAAGCCGTTTGAATAAGATTCCAGGATGAAAAAGCAGATGCATCATACATAGTTGGCATAATGTATGGTTCAAATTTCCAATCATGATAAACTTCAGTTTGAAGAGTCTGCTTATGCCAATGATGAATTTGTGCATCTAAGAAATGAATATGTTCAGTTTTCATTTGAATATCATACTGTATGTATGAATCTTTCTTTTTTATCTTATCAAAAATGAGTTCAAGTTTCTCTTTTGCTTCATTCGATGTAAGAAATAAATTTGAAAAACAACGAACAAATATTTCATTTTGATTTTGATAGGCAAGTATAGTTTGTTGCCAATAGAATAAATAAATATCTATTAAAAGTTCAAGGAAATATAAACCAGTACCACCGCCTTGGACTTGTTGATAAATACAATTATTATAAAGAAAATATTGATGTTGAAGAAGAAATTCAGTTAATTTTATGATTGCCATTAAATTCATACCTTGTATCTTGTCGTCCATGATATAATCAACGAGAAAATGTTTTAAATTTTTAATTAATTCTGAATGAGAGATGGATTCATAAGGATCTCGAATACATATCGAAATGAAGTAAGTACTTGATTGTAAATAACCTTGTTGTTGATAAAATTCTAAGCGTTGAATTAAATCAGCACCTTTAGTAACAGTAGTGAGACGAGCTACTTGATTATGATAGAGAGGAGCTAAAAGACGATGTAGATAACGACAGATTGGCATCAGTGGACTTAACGTGGAAATTATGCTTGGTTCGAACATCACCTCTTCATACTCATCTGTAGTCGGATTAAATGACATATAATCTAAATGAATAGTTGCAGGCCGACAATTCATTTGATGATATTGAAGTGTAGTAATTAATTCATGATTATAGAGAGTTGTTAATAAAGTTTCAATTTCATTCACCATTGTATTAAATAATTGTTGAATAATATCCTGACGTTTGGATACTTGTAAATTTTCTATTTCAGTATAAGCTTTAGTTCGTAACATATAATCATTAGTTTTCGCATCGAACATATTCTTATGACAAACATATCGAAGATTATTTTTAGTAGATTTCATAATCAAATAATTTTGTTGGTGTAATTGACGGTCGTATTTCCTGAAATGCCTCCTTTTAATACAATCTAATAATGGAGCATCATGTTGAAATGGTCGTACATGTATCATCGGTATTTCTTCATTCTGTCGATCTATATAAGGTGTCCATAGTTCTTGAACATCTGCATTGTTCAAACAACTACTTTGTATAATCAAAAACAAAGAAGGATTTCTAAAATCAACCATCAGTATATCTATAATAACAACAAAAAATTACTCATCATTGGCTTTTCTTTGGGATATTAGTGAACTAATTTATACAGAGTGTGTTATCTGTGCAATGAAAATTCAATGAGCTATTATAATCAAAAAGTTTTCCACCAGACTTGGTGAGATTTTCCTACCTAACTACTTGAAACTATATAAGCAGTGCTTAGTGAAATCGAAGATAAAGTGCAAAGCAACATAAACACATACGAGCGTCTCGTATTAGTGCCACCAATAACGTATTTCTGTCAGGTATAGAAAGGCAGCTGTGAGTTCGAGTATAATGAAATATCCTTGTACTTGAATGAATATTGGAGGCAAGATTGTTATTAAAGTTTTGTCGATGAGGACGACGACGACGCCAGCGAATTATTTTGGATACTCTAGCAGATTCGTCTTTGACAGAGTTGATTTTCAGAAGAATGGTCACATAAGATGGAATAGCATGAAGCAAAGCATGATACGATGATCAAAATCTTGAGTTTGATAGATCATCTGAATTATCTACAATAAAGATAAAAATACA